ATAGTGCCTATCAATAAGAGACCAGGTTTTTGTTACATTATACCTTTCTTCCCTTGGACATTTGCTCCAAATTCAAGCGTAATCTTGGTTTGCAGCACCTAAGCTACAAATGCAAGCCTGGAATTTCCAGTCACCACCTATGAAGTACTCAATCTTGTACTTAACATTGTCAACCTCAATTTCATTTAACTGAGCCATTTCAGTTTTAATATCTGAAAGACTTTCTTTCAGATTGTCATAGGTCTCTTTTGTTTTGATAATTGCCAGCACATAGTTCCCCTTTTCACTCATGGCATTTTCCTTTTCATTTAAGATGGTATAAGTGAAGTTCACTACCTTGAGTCTCTTTCCAATGTTGGTGCCATCCTCACTCGTATTAACCCTGACTGTTTCTTGTTCGCCCAGATCTCCTTTAATTTTAAGCCTTTGAATTTGTTCCTTCAGGCTATCCTTCAGGGAAATTTGAACTCCTTCAGCTTCACCTGGGGTGGGTTTCAACTTCCATTTGGCATTTAAATCTGTAATATTCTTTTTTATCCTGTATGCATTTGGCATATCAGTAGCCTTCATAAGCTTGGTCAGAAATGTTATACTTATCCTTTATGTAAATCCATAGATTAATATCATCAATTTCATCACTGTTCAGTGTTTTAGGGTTGCTTTCAGTAGATGGAAGTTCATTTTCATCAATGAAGTGAGTCATACTCTTGGGTTTCAGCATTAAATATCTCCACCTTGGTTGCTATAAAATCATACTCTCCCATAAAAGGGAGTGTTGAATAACATCTATCCTTAAGTTGTGTTTTAATTCTAGATTGGTGCCTTTGTGCATATTCACTGAAGCTCTTATTCTTTTGTGGGCCTCTTAAATTTTTCTTATTCATCCTGGCAACCTTTCTGGCCAAACCCTTAAATCTCTACTTGTAAAAACCACTAGACTTTTCTGATTTGGCAAGAGCTTGCTGGAATTTTTCCTCCACTTTGAGCCTTTTTGCCACTTCATTGACAACATTCTTCTCAAGGACTCTTTTCTGCCCCCGAACTTCCTTATTCTCTTGCAGTAAAGAGGCTTTGTCCAACTCTTTATAGTACACCGTGAAGGCATATGTTGTTGATTTCCACTAATCAAGCAGCCTACGGACGCTCGCACCTCCCTTCTTTTTCATGGAATCAAATTTGCTCTTTAGT